AATTGTCCAGTTGTTCGGCTTGCCCTCAACCAATCTATTCATGAACCACTTGAACGTGGAGAGACCACAGTACTTCATCAGGGAGGTGGACCCCGGATCCAAGGTGACAGATGCACTATCACACTGATGGCCTCAGGGCCTCCTCTGTGCATTTACAATCTTCCTATCATTAGGAAAGGTAGTCCAGAAAATAAAACGAACAGGTGACAATAGTATTGGTAACCCCACATTCGCCAAGGAAAGCCTGGTTTTTGGACCTAACTGAGCTGAAATAGGACCTCCAGTATCGCTCCCAAAGAGACAGGACATCCTCTTACAAGGTCCTCTTCTTCATCTGGATTGGAACCAGCTGCATTTAACAGCCTGGCTATTGAAAGGGAAGTGCTAGTGTTGCTGGGTCTGTCCTCCAAAGTCATCAGAATACATTTTAGAAGAGTATTGACCTTGAATGCATAGTCCTCTATCTGGCCCAAGTTCTGTGCTGGTGCCAGGAACACGAAGCAAATAGCCATAATTCCTTGATTTCTACAATCTTGAAATTTCTCCAAGAAGGCTTGGACAGAGGTCCCCAGCCTAGTACCGTTGCACGTCCGGTGTCTGCCCTTTTGTATCATGATGGTCACAGGATCCATGGGTTCTCTGGCAGAGTAACCCCCCCCCACCCCATCCCACGTAGCCTGATTCCTTAGAGCAGTCTGATTAGCCAAACCAGCAATCAGGCCTCTCTTTCCAAAGTGGGACCTGCCATTTGTACTGAGAGCCCTGATGAACCACCTCTTTGAACCATTCACATCAGTGTATTGCTTTCTGATGGCCATCACATCTGCCAGGTGAGTTTTGGAATTGTCAGTGCTTCCTATGCAGGAGCTTTTCTGTGTGTTTCATGAGGACAGGGTGGTGCTCAGAACTCTAGAATTGTCTATCCTGGAGGTGAACTCTTTCCTCCATGTTTCCCCAGAGGTGGGTCTCCCTTCTTTCTGTCCCAGGCCACCAAGGAGAAGTGGCATGATTTAGAAGTTAGAAGGGCCTGAAAATTTTAATTCAGATGTACAGAGTCCACTCGGAGATCGCGTGCCCTGTTGGTATCCTTCCTCCGGAAATGCCAAGGACCCAGGTGTTACTAGGTGAATTAGACTATGTATTGAAGAAGCATACAAGACACTGGGGATTCCGGTTCCTTAAGGCATCAGGACATGCTCAACGTGATCCCTGGTGACTTCATGGGCAGAAAGAACTAATGCATCCATAGTAGAAACATGTAAGGCGACCACTTAAGCACTACAAGGTAGATTTTCCTGTCCTCTGCAGAGGGGTCTTATTGCAGGAAGTTAGTGCAGGCCGTGATTGGGGAACGGTTTTTGCCCTTTGAACAAGTGTTATAAATAAGAAGGTATACTGTTTTCCTTTTCTTCCCACCTTCTCTATAACCTTCCCTACATCTGTTCATTGCTCTCTACTTCCCAGAACTTCAAGAACTGTGGAAGATGCTGGGCTGTAGAACGGAAATTTTTTTACTGATAATTTCTTTATGCATCTTCCACAATTGTACCCAACTAGCTCAAGAGCCAAAAGGTCAGATGCTGAGTGGGATCTTTACCTTGTGACTTTTGTTGTTGTTGTGATCCATTGAACTTAGTTGGTCAGTTACCTCTGAAGTATTTGTTACTAATATTGTTATACAAGTTTTTACAATTTTGGAATAACTCATCTGGCCACAAGTGGAAGCGGAGGGGGCATGGCCAGTGGGTGGCACCAAAATGCAGATCTGCCTCCATGAGTTGCAAGAATGCCCAGAGCAGCCCAGATGTCAAGAATTGTGGGAGAAAAAGGTGGGGTGCTAGAAAAAGGGAAATTATTGGTAAGACATTTTCCGGTTCATTGACACTGACTTTATGATTGAGCTCTAAGGTATTTGAGCTTTTAAAAAAAGAGAGTGCACTCTGAAAGTGTCAATAACCCTATGTAAGTTTGAAAGTGAAAACTTTTCTTATAACTGTTTTAACTCCACCAAATGTCCGTGGGGTATTACAGGCTTATTTATATATTCAGATGACTGCAAGATTTTAAAATACACATTACGTCTTTATTTAAAAATAACTTATTTGAGTGTAAGAAACTATGTTGTGATATTAACATTTTAATAGTGTCCCCTTCCCTCCCTTTCATATATTTGAGTGTACATGTAGATGAAGCAGGAGTGGAAAGATATATAATATTCTGAAAAAAGAAGGAACATTGTGACTTTAAAATGATAGTTTTCTTCCAGAAGATTAAAAAGAGGCATTTTGAAATATTTGTACAACTTTCTGTGGCTCTATAGGTGTACATAAAATCTGAGCTATTGCATTTGTTTTTGGATAAGAGCTAGAATTTTACTTGTCATTCTAGGTGACAGATAAGTAATGACTTTGGATGAAACTTGGCCTTTAGGTGGGCGCAGCCCAGTACAGTGAGTGGCAGCGTGCTGGCTTTTATATCAAAGCTGCTCAAATATTATTCAATCAAATGTGAAAAGTTCATGTAAAGAACCTCCCTAGATAAAGTTCTATCCATTGTAAGTGGTTGATCTCTAAGGAGCAAGAGGATGGATGTCTGTCTCCATGCTGGTTCTTGGGCTGACTGCATCAGGGCTTTGCTAAAAGAAGTTATGCGCTCTCAACGCAAGTATGATAGGATACGAATTAGAGAGAAAATAGCTTTGGATTTCTTTAAAGCCAGATTTTTAGTGATTTTTATATTACTCTTTACATCTGAATACATCCAGGTATATGTTAGTTTTAGGTAAAAGAAAATACACAATATTACAAGAGAGAAAATCTCTCATGTTGAGGGGATTCTGCCTTTTATGCATGGAACTTGCATTAACACATTATTAGGACAGGCTTCAGAGGAACAGAATAGAGACTGGGAGTGGCTAAGTCAATATGCAAGTAGCCTGTTTCCTCTTGTTTTTTCCTACCCCCCCCCCCCCCAGATGTTCTGGTTTAACTTGGATTTAAACTTGGAGAGTGGTCAGTTTAGATGAGCTATTACCAGCAGGAGAGTGAGTTTGTGTGTGTATGGGGGTGGGGGGGATGTGAGAAAACCTGGATTTATGCAGGAAATAGCCCGACTTGATTATGTAAAGAGTTGTCACTTTGGATGGGCTAGCACCAGCAGGAGAGTGAATTTGTGTGGGGGGGTGGAGGGTGAGAAAACCTGGATTTGTGCTGGAAATGGCCCACCTGATGATCACTTTAGATAAGCTATTACCAGCAGGACAGTGGGGTGGGAGGAGGTATTGTTTCATATTCTCTGTGTATATATAAAGTCTGCTGCAGTTTCCATGGTATGCATCTGATGAAGTGAGCTGTAGCTCACGAAAGCTCATGCTCAAATAAATTGGTTAGTCTCTAAGGTGCCACAAGTACTCCTTTTCTTTTTACATTATTAGGAGTTATTCTTATGTTAATGGGAGAAATTCACACACATTCATAGGTGATTCTACTACAATAAAAGTAAAATAGATTTTTCTTTTCCTTAATACATTTGAAGTTAACTGCTGAAAATTATGACACATTATCAAATCAAGGGGATGTGTATGGACGCTATTCCTTCCAAAAACCTAGCTTCAAAGCTTGGGATAGCAAATAGCCTTCAACTATACTAATCTGGTTAGCATGATACTTAACTTTTGCATTTGGTGCCAGATATGATGAAATCTTCTATCAGTTTCTTGGTTCTTAAATGTGGATGTTAGTTGAAGAGATGATTGAAGATGATGGAGAAAAGGGAGGGAGAAGAAATGGAACTGTACAAGTGCATAATGACAGTAAAAGTAGATCCAGGAATATTACCACAGTTGTAGGGCAGCTGTCTTTGATAGATGTGTGGCAAGGTGACTGTATGATCAGGACTGGACAGCGCTGGGTGCTAGAGACAGGATACTAGAAAAGTTAGGGAAGAGAAAGAAGTATGCTATCCTGCTTAATTGAGACATTTAACTGTATATGTAGCGACTCCCCTGGAGATCCTCACATTTTGGAGGGCCAGCTAATAAATCACATCAATCTTTAGAGCTAACATACTAACAAATTCTGTATAAACTGTTTTTGATTTATTTATTGGGCAACCTTGGAACACAGGATTTCCCCCATTTCTCTGAATTTTACTTCCACTTTTCTCCAGGGCCCTGAATTAATCTTCCTTCCTTCAGTGGAAGGAGAGGTGGGAGTGGGATTATTAAAAAATGTGTGGATTATTATATGGAAACAAAGAAAAACAAATTTTATATACATAAGAACTTTTTTGCATTAAAAATTATTCTTCCGTTTCTGAACTAACTTGAACTTTGAAATATTGCTTCCACTGCCAAAATTGAATAGTTTTGGTCCTTGTTAATTGAGGGATGTGCTTCAATTGTACACACAGAGCCATTAAAGGCTAGATGAATAGGTCATCTGAACATGGAGTCAAAATCTCCAGATTTCAGTGTCACAAAGCTGCAGATTATTTCTGAAGAACAGAGTCCACAGATCAGAATTAAAATATTATATCATACAAGTTGTTAAGATCACATGTTGTTGGAAAATGAAGTATTTCTGGAGTGGAAGGCTTATTTAAAAATATTTTTATATTTACAGAGAATCAGGCATACAAATGTTTGTTTTTAAAAGTGTACACTGCTTTAAGGCTATTTATTTTTTAGAAAATATGACTTACATTAATATCTTTTGACAAATATACACGATATTACTCAAACTGCCATGCAACATGTATATTAAGTAATGAAGAAATTGAATATACAAGGCCTAATCTATATTATATATTGAAAATGTACAGTCTAGCCAATATTTAAAAAGTTTCCCTTATTTGGCAGTATTTTCTACAGTTTGTTCATATATTTCCTCTTGGATGATTTGGTGAATACTTTACTGAAATCTAGTCAGTGACAACCTGAGGTACTAAACATTTCTGCCTTACTTCATTGTCTTCAAAATTAATCTGTTTGTTCCTTTTAGGTTCCATCCATGAGTTATGTATTACAGCATTATTCGGCATGGGATCTGCTTCCACTATTGAAACGACTCGTTTTTTCATTTTACTTTTCAGGACCTTCTGAAATTTTTGCCTAGTGAATGCATAAAGTAGAGGGTGAAATATGGTTGTTCCGTATGCCATAACTAGAAAACATAATCTCAGCTTTACCAAAAGGTCACTTGGGCCCAGACATAAAATTGTAGTGTTTAAAACAGAAATGGGTGTCCAGCAGAGAAGAAACGTTGAAATAATCAACAGGGACATTCTGAAGACTCTCTTTTGTCTTTCCCGTCTTTCACGATGTCGTTTTACAGCTCGCCGTAGGGCAATTATTACTGAAACTGAAGTCCTTACGCCAAAGACTACATTTCTCCCGCCACTGCTTTGTGAAACATCAGTAGTCTCGTGTTGTGTAGTCAAAGAAATAGTCTTTTTCTTTCTGGCTTTTTTCTTTTGCCCTGTTGTAAATCTTGTACCTATTCGAATATTAAGAGCCTGGAGTATTTTGGTGTATGTAATTAGCATTACTATAACAGTGAAGAAAAAAATTGGAATCTGTACTAGGAGATGATAGTACATTCCCAGTTCTGTGTGGTATTCATTTACACTGACACACAAAAGAGTCTTATTTTCCCAAGTACTTTCACTTTGAAGACTGAAAAAATTGACTTCAATAAAGGGAATCAGGAAGGATAATAGAGAGACAATCCATATTGATGTCATTAACATCACAGCCCTTCCCAATGTCAGAATTCGATTTGCAGGTTTTACAGAGATATCATATCGGTCTAAAGTGATAGCAAAAACGTTGATTGCAGTTGAAACACTTGCAAAAGAAACACAAGCCTCATGGAAACAGCAAATTAGAGCACTGTTACTCTCCAGTGAAAGCAGAAGGATAACTATAGTTAGAGGAATACATCCCACACAAATTATTACATCAAGTACGTGAAGGTTCATTGTAATAATGTTACTGACAGAATTGATTAAGTTGGATTTCATGCAGTAAAGTACCAACACGGTGAGGTTGCTGCCAAGTCCCAACACAATTTCTAACATCAGAAATCCAGTGAGAGAAACTTGAAAGCTTAATGGATATGACAGTGCTCGGTACATATTGGTGTTGATGTCATCAATGGCATCTTGAACTGTAATGTTAGATTCAGACTGCATGTTGACTTCCGGAATGGGAGAGAAGCACATTCTTTTGTTGCAGTTGTTTTTGTCCTAAAAGATGAGAGAAAATAGTTTTGTATTTAATTCTGACACTTTTAAAATCACTTTAGATAAATACAGAAAAACAGGTATTTCATTCTATCAAAATCTAATCAATTATATATTTAGATTTGTGCATGATTTGGGCTCAGGAATCTGAGGATCTAGCAAAACACCAGCTTTTAAAATAAAATTTGATTGTAAAAAACCCCCCAAAAAACTTGTTAAAAGCCTTTGTTTACAGAGACAAGGCCTTGTTTATGATATGGCTCTTACAAAGGACACGTGGTAGAACAAGCTATATTGGTACATTGTGTTTTATCATGTCTAGGGCCATTTTAAAAAAATGTCCACATTTATTTAAAACTTAGCATATATAAAGTAATGTTAAAAAACCTTTTTAGGAAAAACAAGGTCAGAAGAATGGAGGGGAGTTGCTTGTAAACCACTGAAATATCACTTAATAGATCTTCTCTTCTATAGGTTTGTTTACCTCCTTCTTTTGAAAACTTTTTGTAAAAATGTGATTGACAGAAGATTTGCAATTCCAGAGTTCATTGAAATTTTATAAAACTTTAAAATGTTTATACATTAAATTTTCTTTCAGAATTTTGTGTGTACATATATTATCTCTGTGTGTGTGTGTGTGCGCGTGCGTATGTATATTTATATGTGCATGTATATTTTCATTATAAGTCATGTATATATAACTTCAACTGTAAAATTATAGATGAATGTTTAAGTGTAATGAAGTAGATTTTCAAAGCATTGCATTTCCATATGCTGATATTTATATTTCCTGAAGTAAATATTTAAACTTTAACTATTAGCCACACTGGTGAAATACTCTCCCTTTGATTTATGGACTTGTGTGTATCAGGAATATTTAGTAGCATATTTATATTTGTAATCTAATTAGATGATGGAATTAAGGAGACGGAGACAACAGGATTGTTTGTATTATGTTTGTTTTTTACATCATGAAATGAAAGTGTATCTCTGCTTTGAGGCAAGAAGGCTCAGTGATGTAGCATTAATCACTGCTGTGTGATTTTTTTTATCTTATGGCCACACCTTCTGTGGCTTACAAATGCTAATAAATTGAAATTTAGTGTCTGCTTAAGAGGCTTGCCACTGTACCATTTTTTCTTAACCAGCATATAAAATTAATAAATAAAATAAACTAAGGAAGGAAAGATTTTTTTTCTCTTGGTGTGGTGGTACTTGAAATTTTGAGCACTTTTAAAATGAAAATGAAAATATATTTGGTATAAGGATTAATTTAAATGGAGAGCATTGTTCTTCTCTAAATACAGTAAGTGGAAGGCACTAAAGAGAATAAAAATGAGTGGCTTTTTTAATGCAAGTATGAATTATGCACACTCTAGATGTAATATGCAAATACATTTATCTACAATTCTGAGAAGCCACAATAGTTCAGTACTGTTAATTGCAAACTTTTTATAATGAAGGTTCTTTGTATGCATCAAGAGTTACTTTACATGCCTTTTTAAAAACAAAAAATTTGAATGAGCCTCAGGTGTGCAATGAAACAAGAAATATTCCAAAAGCTTTGTTCAACTTTCACTTTATGCAACCTGAAGACAGTTTATATATAGCTTCAAGACAGTATTATTTCCTCTGTGTATGTGGTCTTATTTAGCTATGGACATATTATGGAAACAATTCCAAATGTGTTACTTGATAAAATTGAATTCGCTTGAACTGGTAAAAGCCAGAAGATTAGAGTCATTTTTACTAAAACAAGCGATGGTCTTAACTGTAAGAATAAGCTATCTGAAATCTTGTGAAAATGGAAAATTTTAAGTGTGCCAGATTTTACTAACAAACAGATTAAGCATCAGGTCTTTGTCACATCAGATAGATTTGCAGTTAAATAAAAGCAGAAATGTCGAGATAGGAAGATAATTAACAAAATACATCTCAAGAACAAGTGCTCTGTTCCACTGGAAAAGGTCAAACAGAGGTTGGGTGCATGCAGCTTCTGACCTACCTGTTTTCTGTTGCCTCAAGGGCCTTTCAGCTCACTGTAGCAGCTTGTCATAAATTGATACATGGTGTCACTGACAGAATTTTGACATGCATTTCACCTGGCAGCTGAGTTGTAGCTGTGCTCTATTTCATCCCTTGCAGAATGTTTCCTTTTTCTTTTTCTTTTTCTTTTTTTTCTTTTTTTTGGTTCCAACACTTCAGCAGCAAGATTTTGTGATTGAACAAAAGGACTTAATTTCCTGAAATATTTCTACAGACCAGTGCATATTGGTTGGTTGGTCTGCTTTTTAAAGCCACCAGTAAAAACAAAACTTCTTTTAAGTGACATTAAATTATTTCCCCCTTTGTATCTCATGGCAGTATATTTTTATTTTCTAGGATAAATGAAAATAAAAACAGACACATCCAATTTCTGGCTTCAAAAATATATTTAGGCATCCTTTAGTTACAATTGCACGTTTGGTTTTATAATACTTCTCATTACTTTAGAGTGATGGCTTTGTCACATAAGTTGTTTTACATTGTAAAATCCAGTTCATGTGCTCTGATGAAAACCATGGACTGCTTAATTTGGTTTATTTTCATTAAAGGAGAATACATAACAGGTTATAAAATTCAGAGAAAAAATATCCATTCGTCATTATGACAAATAAGTGACTTAATATGTAGTGTAGAAAAAGCTTGATTAAAGCCTTGTTTAGCTTGCTGATGAAGTATGCACAGTCTCCTTTTGAGAATTCATGTTTCATTGTTTCTTCGTGAATCAGTAGTTTCCATAAATCTGGTTTTAAATTATAAATCCCTTCTTAAGATAGGCTCACCGTTTTGTTTTAGGAATAAACCATTATATTAATCTTCTTTTCATGAAAATATGAGCAGATGTGCTAATCTTCTATGTATATTGTTGAAGTGTTAAACACTTACATAGAAATAGAACCTGTTCCATGTTTTTATTCTAATTCCTTCATTTCTTAAGACTATATATTATAAGTACATCCTGCGGCTTGTAGATCAGACAGCTAGAAAGATGTCCAGTCAATTGCATTCTTCATATTGTCAGTAGTAAAACTGAATTAGATGCTGCATGCCCTTGTGAGAAAAAGAAGAAAAAAAGGTTAAAAATAGGGCTTCTAATAACAATTTTTCAGTTAAGTTATTCAGGAATATATTTATATGGTATCATTTGATTAAAATTATGCAGTATGTGTAAATCAAAATGGATCTCTAAAGTTGACTCCTATAGAAGATATATAAAATCAGTGAGAATATTTTCACTATTTCCTAATAAAATCTTTCCCTCTCTTTCATCTTATTAAAATTAAATATATTGGACGGGTTACATATTTTGCAAATATTAAATGTGGAGTTAAAAGCCAAGAATTGAAATAAAAATTACTGGGCAAAAAGATAGTATCTACAAATGTAGCTAGAAAATATGATTTTTACAGGTCTTGTGAGCAACTAGCTTACACATACTATGTGTCCTCTTCTGTTCATATGACTAATTTAACTGAGCCTCAGTTGCTTCATGGGGAATACATTTGTTTAATTTGCACATGTCCTTGAATTTATTGCTTTGAATATAAAATATTATGCAAATTTTTACAAGTATATTTCCATTGGGTGAAGTATGTAGATTATTTAAATGTTTTTAGGGTCACACAAAAGGTAGTTACAAAAACTAACATTTTTTCCCCATGAATAAGTCAGAGATTAGTCATGTAAATCAACCTTCGAAAAGCAATAAGTATACCAGAAAATGCAGAGTATCTATGATCCTTCAAGGAGTACTTGAGTACATTCATAACATATGTGACTCAATATTTGGAAATGCTGTTGAGAAAAATCTTCTGACTGCATTAAGGATTTTTAGCAGTACTGTTATAGCTTAAGCTGCACTGTTTTTACGTTGTA